CACTGGTTGACTGCAGACTGGTACCTTGGTGCTGCAACTCAGCGACCCCCCTCAAGCCCCGGGCACCTGCTGCTATGTACCATTATGCAAAGCCGGGCTAAGATGCTATAGATGTGGGTGCGGTGCATTGCATTCTACGCCGTTGCCGGGAGTCTGTAGTGCAGCTCGTCGCGATTCGCCGAAGGCTTGTTATTTGGAACAGTCGTCCTGTGCTGGGTAGTGTTACATACTACCGAGTATAGCACATCGCCGTGCTTCCAGATCTTTTTCTCCTTCTTCCTGGTTCCCGGCGTGACGAACGTGCCCCCCAAACGTCGTCGCACACGCAATACGACAAGAATGCATAGGTATGCGTTGTACTTACGCGTGCAGGACCAAGGAATCCAAGAAGACGAGTCCTCCCTCCCTCAGCCACACAAAACCACTTGCGGTGCGAGATCAATGGCCTGACTGCAGCCCGAGTGCGTCATTCTCTCACTGTCCTTCTCCAAGGACTTACAGGGGGCTGCGGAGAAGTGGAAGGGTCAGAGAAGAGAACAATTCCCGGGGAACTGGGCCAAGGCCTGTTTAGGCATATTGCTCCAATGCGAGCCGCTGCTTCGCTCCCGACCCTTGTCGTCTCAGGCCGATCAGCGAAGATCGCATCATCCAGGAGGGAAATTATGTATCTACGTACTATTATTACTGTGTAAGAAGTTTTTCTCTCTCTCTCTCTGGTCCTCCTTCATTCTTTGGGTTCTTCTTACCACATACATGCCAATATACGCCGTCATCTCGCGCTCATCTGTAGAAATTGCGCCTCTGCTGCAGGGCGGCACTGGCGCCTGGAAGAAAACAGTCCCGCCTGTGCCCAGGGCAACTATTCAAGAATTATCATTACAACACGAAATGCGGGAAAAGCTTGTGCCTGAGGGCAAACCAAACCACCAGCTGAGCGACTAACGTGGCGTTAAGGGTCTCTCGGGGGGGGCTGCAGGGGCTATTATTAGCTCTCTCTATGTCGCTCATCGCCACGTCGGGCATAGCGGGCAGCGCGAAGGCTGGAAGGAGGGAAGAAAAAGAGAGAGAAAAAACTTCACCACGAGCTATTGTGCTGCAAGCGAGTCGTTTTGTGCTCAGCACGTGGTGCAAACCATTCGTGATTTTTTAAAGTCTTGAGACCATGTCTTTTAGTGTCAACCGTCCAAAGTCTTGTCTTGCCCCCTTTCCGATTCCATTCCGTCCGTTTTTACTATGGGGACCAGTTTTATAATCCATTGTTCTTCATCCAATACGGAGTACAAGCCAAAGATGATTTATTCTTCATACAAATCTCTCTCTTCCCCTTGCCAGACAGACTATATCAAGTGCTGACTGATCGATCAATGTCTGCTTTGCAAGCAACCAAGAATCCCAAGAATCCAAAACACCCTCTCTTTCCACCGTTACTGCCTGAGAGATCATGATAAACCAGCCAAATGAGGTGATCCACGAGATGATCGGCCTAAGCACGGAGTTCTCCCGCCCACGAGCGAACCCCGCTGGGCATCTGCAAGTCAGCACGCAGCGCAGCGCAGTGCAGTGCACGTCCTGTACCGAATGCAAATCCACACAGGGTCGGTCATATTCCCTAGCGCTGACTGTTCTTGCCTGTCTGTCTCGGGGCCACCCCTCCCCAAGAAGAACTCATCGCGTTCCGCCTGGGAACTTTTCGAGAAACTCCTACCTACGTAAATCATCAAATTACAATATGGCGCTTATAGGCGACGTGGAAGAAGCTACCCCAATCGACAGTTCGAGGATGTTGGTTCCCCCAAAGTCGGGTATGTATCATGATTATGATCGCCACAAAGGTGACGTCGTCGTCATGATCGCTCTCTCCTTGCTTCTAAACCGTCTTCTTTTCCTCCTTCTAAAGCGTTCTGCTTCTTGACTAACAGTAAGGCTGAGGGATTGCAAGAGGAGTCCCCTGTCCAGACACAGCCTCAATATTTTGGTCGTGATCATGGATACATATATATCGACCAAAAGGTTGCGTGTCTTTGGAGCAAGTGTCTCCTCATGGAGACGAATCCTTCGTGGCTGTCTGGGCCCCATTGAGGATGGAGTTCTATGAGCCCACATGTCGAGGCTGCCTAGCGGGCGGTACGCCCGTCGTGCGCTTCTGTATTCGTGGCTGTTATTAGTAGTAGTTCAGCTGAGAAGGTAAGAGGTGATTATTGTCATTTGCCCCGGGGCTTCGGGGAGGCGATCCTGTGCGGCTCTTGACAGATATCCGGCAGCCCGTCGAGTTTGTCCACTGTAAGCAAAAGGCTTTGGATGATCGGATCCGCACGTTCGGGATACACCGAGCCCGTAGTACAAATTTGTGCCGAGCTAGCACGCCCTGCCTCTGCCTGCTGCCTGTGCGGAAGAAACATTGTTGACTCCGTCCATGTCCACAGCGGTTGTCACCTTGACGACCCTTTAATATCTCTAAAAGTTTCCAATCGAGATTTCTTTCGAATCTATCCAAATGAGCATGGCCAGAGGTGCAAGTACGGTTCCCGAATCCCATGTCATTGGGCAGGAAGAAAAAAAAAACGTCCCAAATTTAAGTTACAAGGATCTGATATTATCAGATCTAAACACTTCAACGATATGATGAGACTCCACATGGGGCTTTTCTGGAAAGCCTATTTTATTGTGCATCAAAGCTCTTTTCTCAAGTCAAAGCTGAACGTCGTTCGCCTATTATTGCGGTTTTGGTAACTCTGGTTCCGATGTCATAGTGGGACGTTTTCAGATGACCTGATTACTCCGTGGTGGGTAAGAGAGGCAGGCGTCCGTTTTGAGCGGCGGAACGTGAACAGCATCTGACGTCAAATGGTTGTCAGGTCTTTACCAAGGATCATCACTGTCGAGTTTCTTTCAAGGATCTGGAAAAGCAGAGGCCGTCCGAAGTCTGAGGCTGGGCGTCGACCCTCCTGCGTGGTCGGCTCGCGCCGACGCAGTCTGAAAGACCGTACTAGACCTCGACGACAAGCTCTGCCGGTGACTACTCTCGCGCGAGCCGTCGTCGCCGTCGCCGTCGGCATCGGGTTCTGGGTCATGATGCCGGGAGCGAGTTGCCCCAAGCTTTTGACTGAGCCATGGCCTAAAGTTGTCTGCCCGCTGACGTTAGCAAGACAGAACAAAACAAAGGCGGAAAAATAGGGGGGCCAGGTAAACATGAGAGGAAAACAAGGTCGGGCAAGGCCCACGGCTCGGATATTATCAAGACACTCACAGTAGCCACCACAAGCCAGGATGCCGAGCCAGAGCGCGAGCTCGGATCCGTAGATCACCATGCCGAGCACGTCCAGTTCCGGCTGGAAGAAGATGGACACGAGCGAGGTCAGGTCCCCGAGCGCATCGATGGCCACGAACAGGAACGATATGCCCCTGACCGTCCTCTCCCGGTATATGTCCCAGTAGTGGCGCAGCACGCCGGCGCTCAGCAGCGACGCCGACAGCACGGCCATGAGGATCACCGGCCACTGCAGGTCGCGGCTCTTGGCCGCCAGCAGGGCGAACACCAGTCCCAGCTCGACGCCGCCCAGGACGAGGGCCAGCGGCGCCGCGACGGCAAGGCACTTGAACCAGGACCACCGGCGTCCGTAGTACTGGCACTGCGTCCAGGTCGCCAGGCTGAGCACCGTGAGGATCTGGGGCTGGATCCTCAGGGCGACGTGGAAGTTCTGCGCGATATTGTAGGCCCCGAGAGGGATGCCGGCAGTCGCCCAGAGGAGCATCATGGTCGGCTGCAGCCCCGTTGTGTCATGCCTCCGGTAATTGATGACAATTTGGGGAATCAGCTATGGTCTGAGGGTCAGCGAGCCGGCCATCGCCACGAGGAGGAAATTGCTCTGCTTTGCTCACCTGAACCGACCAGCAGACCGCCCCAGCTATGCCCAGGGTCGCAGCGGCGACTGGAACGTCCATGTTTAAGCATAAAGCAGCCGCAGCGATTGACTATAGTATCACAGTATTATGACCCGTGGGTGTGATTGGTCGGGCCGTCCCATGTACGTCGCAGAGCCTCAATGAAAGGGTGATGGATTTCAGGGAGATGTGCCTCTGTGTCTTGGAGCCAATAAAACTCGACAGTCCCCGGTCTCGGCTATGACTTCTGGGCCGATGCTTCGCTCGTACACTACTGGGGAATCTCGGGTGGTGTTGACTCTCGATCCAACCTCAGGTGTAGTAAAGGATCATATTGATGTGCAGAAGCAGAAGCGTTGATCCACTGCGACATGCTGCCACAGTCGTGCGATTGACTAGCATCTACCCTGCGCAATCACCATTCGTGCTGGGTCCGTACCCTTTGCACTGTCTGGCTGAAACTCTGGTTGGCCCCGCCATTTTAATGGGCGATATTACTATCTCCCTACCCAAACCAAAAGTCCGAGAAGAGTGTAAATCTTTCCGGAGACAAGGAGAACCCTCGGCCCCCGCAAAGGACGATTCCTAGCAGTATACGAGGTACGTATGCCATTTCTCATCCTTCGGAATTCCCATACAAGCCATTCAGCATCGGCGCGTCCCAGGGCTACCTAGCTAATAAATCGCAGTGGAAACAAAGTTTATGAGCCCACTCGAGCCACTATAGAGAAAATGTCTCAAAATGGGGTTCGAGATGATGGATGAGAGAGAAAACCCGCACTCCCCCACATTCCGAAATGCTGCAAAGTCAGATGGAAATGGTGACAGAGGCAGTCGAGTCCATGGCGGCTTTTCGTAAGTGTGGTCGTCTCTGCGGCTTTGCTAGAAAAGTTTCCCGATTAAGGTATGCGCAAGAGCGGAAAGAGCTGTTAGATACCTATACTGTGCCACCCGTCCGGGCTATACTGATGCTAGCTATTTGAAACACAAAGCCAAGCAAAAGCCACAATAACAAAAAGATACACCCGGAACGCTGTAAAAGAATAGATTTCTTTCGGTTATTTCACAAATAGGAGAGAGGAAAGAAGTTACCATACGATGAAATGGCAAAAGAAATGTCCCTCGAGCCGGATTTGAACCGGCGACCTGTGGATATTCCTGAATTGGAATTGTAGCAATTACAGTCCATCGCTCTGCCAACTGAGCTATCAAGGGTTGTTGAGATGAACGGCTCTTATGCACGCTCATGTCACCTGTTCAATCTCTCCACTTTCATGGATGGACGCATGCAGCCTGTTCGGCGGGCGCCGACACTCTATTCAAACCAGAGTTGGAACATGTTCCTCGGAAGCTTAAATCGTCCAAACTTTTTGTCCCTTCTATCAATAGACACTAAAGACATACCTGAGACTTCGTGACCTGAGACAGAGAGAGGGAATGCGATATACGAGGTCTATGGGCTTCTTGTCTCGGGGGACTAGTTTGTGGAAAGTGTCACCTTGCCAGTACCAAGCACTATAGTCGCCGTGCGACCGGCGGACCTCACCGTAGCGTCTAGGGCACATCTCTGTAGCGCGACGAAGCCTATTCCTTTATTACCTAGGTCAACCGTCGGGCAAGATCTTGGTGACATCTCCAAATATATATTTGTCTTTGGACTTGCAGATTCTTGAGAGTTTGTATCACCAATCTGTCTATGCGAATACTATAGAACCGTGTCGCCAAGCATTCTCCGTGCTCTAATAAGTAAACATGTACGCAGATCTCGCAGTGCTTATTGGTGACAGTTTGATACTCTGTAGAAACAACGCAGTTGGAGGTGCAAGAAGCGTCGGAGACCGGAGGTTTCGGCATTCTGCCACCTACCCACCAACTTACTACACCAAGAGAATGATATCCAAGACTTCCAAGCGTCAGTAACATCGTGCACATCTTGTTTACACATCTCCCACCCCGTCTTACACGAACGATGGGGTTCCCACGTTCTCCAGTATGGATTTGGTGGGGGCGAGGGAGGGGCCGCACTGCTGTTAGATGACCTGGCAGGTATGGAGTTGCACCGTGATTCCCCTTCCCTCCCGCAAACGCAGGAGAGGGTAGTTTCCACACCGCGAATCGAACACCCATACTTACATTGTGCCCGCCCGCCGGTGGACCAATCAGTATGCTGGGCGCATACCGAAAAGGGCAATCGAGCCAAAAGCAAAAGGTGTGCGACAAATGGAGCCCCGGGGGTCGGTCAGCGGGCCCTTCCAATGTGTGTGTGTAGGTGGTGTGCAAGGCAAAGCGAGCGAGACGTCTCTTCTTTGGGATAGACAGTATTGGGAAAACATGCAAGGACGATGCAATACGTATAGTCGGCCCACTGGGGGCGGCGTCGGTATATAAATCTTTCTGTTCTCTTATGGATTGACACCACCCTACATGCGTCTGCGTCTGCGTCTGCTGCTGCTGCTGCTGCTGATTTAGCGAAGGGGCAGCGAGAGTAGATGAACCTCTCTGACAGCAAAGCAAAGAACAAGCGCTGGGCTGGGCTGTCCAGTATGTATCATGTGTATGTAGACGTATATGCAGGTTGAAGGGTTCATCGATGCCCGAGGCAGCAAAGAGAGAGAAAAATTAAATAGACGGGTTCGTTATTGGGTGGTTTGACTGGTCAGGTCTCAGCTGCCCTTTCCCTTTGCCGCTAAGCAGTTGTCCCATATGGGAACGATTAAAAAAAAAGAAGTCATGGCTTGCAACCTTGTAGTTCTGGCCATGCAGGCACCCCGATAGGCCATGCTGCCAATTTCCTATTCGGGCCAGAACATCGGAATCCCATTGTTTCACGGTATACTGTCATGGTATGTATTTACTTTTGCCCAGTTCTATAGCTCTATAGCCTCGCCGGAAGCCTCAAGTCGAATCTACACACAGCCTTGCGCCCGACTGCCTAGGTAATTGGTGATTCCCGAGAGGTCCTAGCAGCCGTGGCCCCCAAAAAAGATAGTAGGTTAGCTCGCTTTTGCAGCCTCTCGAGGTAGAAGCCGGGCCTCAGCAACTGGCCGGGTCAGGTGACGAGCGGCCAGTCAAAGCGAGCGAGTGTTTGGCATCCCATTCTCGGTGACAACAGGGGATACGATTCGTCAATGGCTACTAGCTCCATGTACAACTCGCCAATGAGAGTCCAGGCCGATATACGCCTCTCGAAGGAGGTGTTCGCGGATGAGGACCATGGGGTCTTTACATCTTCACGTCGGTCCAGTATCACAAACCTGGATTGTCTTCATTATTTGTCCTTCACCTAAAAGAAAAACAGTTTATCGAACAAATATCCCACCCCACTCAGAAACCAAGAGACCCGCTCTGTCTGTGCCTGACGTCTGCTGATTCGGTTATACTTGTTGGGTCTGACAGACAAGGTACCTACATATGACCGGTGACTTACACGCACGCACCATGCAAATGGATCGGACCCGGGAGCCACCCATGTTTGTCGAGGGTATCAAGCTGGTCATCCAAGAGGTACAAAAGCCCCGTCCCCGGCTCCTACAGGATCCCGGTGCCGTCGATTTCTACCTGCCCCATTCTCCCTGCCATTCCTCTCCAGAAGCCAGTGAGCCCGGTGATGAGAGCATTTTTGATGACTTCTTCGACTGGACTTTGTGGAGGGAAGACCAAGTCAACAACCAACCATCCGGACCCCAGTCGGACAGCCCCTCCATGCCTGGACTCACCTCCGGGACGACTCCGCCGCCATCCGAGAAAGACGGCGCCACTTCTCCGACCCGGGAGAGGGAGGACTACTCGCAGTACAGGGATCAGCTGAGAGAGGCCAAGAAGACTGACGATGGTTATACCTTTCCCCAGCAGCGAGAGCTCCGCCCCAAGCACAGTCCCGGATACCTCCATATCTCTACACACCCCACCAGAGGGAGTGCCCATGGCTACAACTCGGAGAGCACCCTCATCTCCCCGCCCTCGAGTCCACGCTCCAGCAGCGACGCAAGTAGTCTGAGCAACCAGTACTTGACTCGAGGAAAGCGTGTCGGCCCTCTGAAGAATGGCGACGAGGTGGCCGAGGTGCGAGCCGTAGGAGCTTGTGTCTGCTGCCGTGTCCGCAAAGTCAAGGTAAGACTCTTTGCACACCTTTCATACTCGAACACACAAAGACTAACATGCTGCCAGTGTGACGAGAAGGAAGTGTGTGGAAAGTGTACCGACAAGGCACCAAAGTACAAGTGCGGATCGGGATCCATCTCGGGTCGGCAGATCTGCTTTCGCAACCCGTTCGCGGAGAGCCAGCTCTTGTTCCCCCAGATTGCAAGTACGTCGAGATTCATGTCGCCCCTTGTCCAGAAGCATCCAAGTATCCAATGATGTCTAACAGCAAACAGGGACAGATACGAGTCGTTTCACGGCGCTCATCGCGAGCCGACCAGCGCCTGGCGACAGAGTTGGGCGCCTCAATGTATACTTCCGATCGGCCATGAACGGTGGCATGCCTCAGCAGCCCCTCCGGTTGTCGGTCGTCATGAAGGGAGGCATGATTCCCGGACAAGAGTTGGATGCCAGCAACTGGAACCTGGACATCGACCACCAACCGACTTATCTCAGCCTGCACCAGTGGGCGGAACAACACATGATCAGCATTGGAAGTACCGACTTCCAGTCCACTCTTGACAACTTTGTCCTGCAGTACACACAAATGCGTACACCCAAGCAGGTGGCTCTTCCCAAGGTAAGCACCATGGCGCCCTCATCTTGAGCCAATGCTAACTCTTCGTAGTGTGATCTTCTCCACAAGATCCATGGAATGAGATGCTTGTACAAGATCTGGAGCCAGAAAGAGTTTGTGTTCCAGTACGAGTCCGGCGGGCCCACGCACGTTCTCGGCAAGCTGTTGCAGACCGGACTGAGAAACCTGGCCAAGTTTGAGCTAAAGCGACTCGAGCAAGACGTCTTCGCCTATCTGGAGAAGTGTCTCGTCAACCCCAAGTCAAAGGACGCATTGCAAGACGATGAGCAGATGGCCGTCTGGGCAGCCGTTCTGCAGCTCATTCTCATGTATTACGATCTCTTTGGCAAGACCGTGTCTGTCAGCAACATGCCACCGAGTGAGTATCCCGATTGTACCATCAAAAGAGCACCACGACTGACTGCGTATAGACCACGCATACTACCGAAGCGCCCACCAGCTGCGAAACATCTCCAAGCGACTGTTCTCTGCCTTGGTGGTCATTTGCGAAGCGTCATTTGGCAAGAAGGAACTCGCCTTCAAAGTTGGTTCGCATGACCACGCAAAAGAACACATCAACATCCTGCTCAAAGATGTCGAAGCACGTCGGGATGAACACAGTAAGTGATCTTGCGAGGATTCGAAAGTAATCGGTCGACTAACAGCTTTTCCTAGTCGACAGCCTCGATCCCAAACTCAACCAGCTCAACGTGCTCTTGTCGGTGTTGCGTCCCAAGACGACCAAAAAGGGCCATTCGGCGAAACGCCAGAAGACATCGAGATAGCTTCACGGGCTGACTTTGATTTGTATGATTTGAAAACGGGGTTTTTGCTATCTGTGAGCCGAGCTCGTGTCTGTCGGGCGGAGCTGGAAGAGTGTAACGTTCATGCTAGAGGCTGGTGTTGCGTTGCTTGATAAGGCGTCTGGAGTTGACATGATACCCATTCTTATTGCATTATTATCCATAGAATGGTCGGGGGAAAGTTGTTTTTAGTTTTTTTTTCGGTGTCGCAGACGATCCAATGTGGCGTCACAGCCCAGGTTGACTACAATCTAGGCCACGAATCATGACATTCTCATCACGGTCGCTTTGACCTTTCTTCCGACCGTCCATGGCTCTTTCTTATGTTTACCAACGCTCTTGAAGCTCTCGCCAATGTCGTTTCGCTCAAGCAGCTCGGCCACGTGGTCGGCAACGAATATGGACAGCTCGATCTGAGGTTTCTTCTTGCCATCGACAATTCTGGCCGAAAATCTGTCATCACGTTAGCCTAATTCCCAATACCACCAAGAGCCGAAACAGACCTTATGAGCTTGCTGAGCTGGTCTGTCGTCTTGGGCTCAGCAGGGCATACCGTCGTCAAAACGGAAGCCACCACACCAAAATAGTCGGCCCAAAAGTTTGCTTCGGGTGAATGATTTGCGGCGAGCTTTCGGAGACCAAGGTATAATTGCTGATCGATTGGACCCAGAGTAGAGCCCCATCGAGAACACGCA